TTTTTTTTAATTTATTATTTGCCAGTACCCTCTGTATGACTTATATGTTTTTATATATACAAACTGATTTATGTATAAAGTGAAAATTGATAAATTTAAATGCACTTTGTTTTTACATAAAAACTGTATTATAGATTAAGTGAAACTTTGTCCACAAGATTACTTTTATGACAATAAAGTATATTCTCTCTCCCCTATCTATATTTTCTTTCAAAAAAATGTATCAACCCGGTTTTATATGAGTACTAAGCTTGGTCCAAATACTTGGTTTTCTAAAATGCCTGTGCTTGCTCGATGGTTAAGAATCCCAATATTAAATTTTAATATACATATTAAGGTACCTATTTTTTGAATTTTCAATAAAACATTCTATTTAAATTGTTCATTAAATTCTCTTATGCGATGATGGGACATTCAGGGAGTCAAAATAATGCTCTGTTGGGGGCGCCAAAAGTTCCAGAGTCGACCCTGAAGGTCGGCTCTAGAACTTTTACATTCTGGTTGTTTACCGGGGCTGACAATTTTTCAGGACGTTCCTGTTTTGAGAGATGTATTTAAATTAATATCTCGTTATTTATATGCAAATGCGGATTCCCTCACTAAAAAAAACATTATTTTTTACTGAGGCGGCATTTTTGGCATCCTCACATTCCTGTTAGCGTAAACATTTTGTTACATGACCTGTTGTGACCAAGCATGGAAAATATGTCAACGAGTCAAATGGAAGCAACACACAAACTCCCTACTCACCCATCTTCTTTTGAGAATCCATAGCTCCGAAGAAGTTGAAGTCATTGATGTGAAGGTATGTTAAAAACTTTCATGCGGCATTGAACAATTTGAATTCTATGGCCGCAATCCAAGTCTCAACTCTAAATATACATCTCATCGTTGCTAGAGACGTTTTTCTAAACAATGAACAATATCGCTGGGTGCGATTATCTGGGTGGCCCTGGCGCGAAATCGTCCCTATCGAGGAATTTAACAAACGGTTCGAATCAAGGACGACCGTAGCTTGGAAAATTGTTGAATCGATCGTCGATTTTTTCGAGTAAAACGTTCGATATCGCGGTTAATGTGTCCGTAAGATTGCAACGAGCGTACCTTCCGCTCCAGAGCCATGCAAAACACTGCATCGTGGATCGTGAACTCTGGAGAGCGTCTTTTTTTTTAGCGTAAACCAGCACGCGACGACGGAGTGACGTCACTCCATCTGCAGCCTATCGATGGGAAGATTAAGGGGATTCGCCCGGCTTAGAGAGAGACGCCGATAGGGTCTGATACACGTTATTGGTATCGGAAATTATACTGTTCAGCAGATCACAAGCACCTGTGGGATAGGTATGTATCGGGGGTGGTCACAGGCGATACTGTAGGAGGGCAGAGGGGTTTTTCCCTGTGGCTAAGAGCGTAGCCACTGTGGCTATGGATTCACTATCATTGCTGCTAATCTGAAAAATACAGGATCCATAATATACTGATATTACAGTGACATATTTTTGGGAAAGAGAGGTTTTGGCTTTCTACTTCTCCAAGGCAATTAATTTCGAAATGAACTTTTCACGGAGATGTGTAGATCAGGCGAAGAACTGACTTTAAGACACAAACTGGAAGAAAAAGCCATCTCGGAACAAATACTTACACGAAAGAAAAAATACTTTTATATGAACATTAAATGAACATTGAATTATACAAAAAAAACTTTTTCCAATTCAGTTTGTACTCTAAACATTCGACAATTTCTGTATACATATGCATGTATATGTGTATATACACACATCGGAAAAGTCTAGGGATATTTTTATAACATACTAAATATCATAAAAATAAATGCATGAGGTCGTTTCATTTCGATTAAATTGGTACACTCGACCACCCTGTAGATTTCTATGGGTTGAACAAAGCCTGCAAAAACGGTAACTAATCTTTTANTTAAGTTGTTTATAGGTTGATACTATAACTCAAGCTCTGCTTAGGTAGATCAGCCTTCAAAATTGTTTATTTTTCATTGATTCTTATACCATTATCAAAATATGTAATTACCTGAATGAATTTATCATTATCTTTATCTTTCTTTAATTAATTGATGGATACAAATAAATTCAAAACCTATTTTCTTCTTTTTGGAGCTTGCTATTGAAGGATTGTTTTTGATAATATTTTTCACCGTTTTGAAATTCCAAAAAAGCATGCCGTGGTTTTGGACATCTGCCTTATATCGCAACAGTGATCATATTGGCCATACTCGAGTAGGCGAGAAGAAAAACATCGGAATAAATTACCTACCTTCAAACGTCAAATCAATTCTGTTAATTTACGGGCGATAATTTATATTAGACAGTTTATTCGTAAACCACAAATGAAATACAGCCGCAATTCAACCCTCCTAGCAACTATAGCGAATACAAACAAATCGCGGTTCCGATCTGAAATCAGACCGAACATGTTTTCTGCAAATATTCTCAACGATGGTGACTTCACTAAAACAATCTACACCTTGGTGAGTGACGTTTATATCTTCATTAATCTGTCGAAAAATTATGTTTGTTTTGAAGATCAAAGACAACAGATTCAGCGATGCCATAAAAATGTTGCACGGCATCGCCGATTCGAACTCTACCAGGGCCGGACTGTCCCTTTTGGCGTATTGCTACTTTTACATTCAGGATTTCGTGAATGCCGCTAATTACTACGAACAGCTGACTAAGATGTATCCAGACGATAAGGATTATAGATTGTACTACGCACAGGCCTTGTACCAAGGTAAAGTTTTCGGGAAAATTTTATTTTATGGGATACTCACGGATTTTCGCAATTTTTTCTGTGATGATACTACGAGATGCTAGGAATTCGGAACACTTTTTATTTTTTGTCGGACTCGATTAGTTTTTGAGATATAGCCTGTCAAAGTTTGTATGATGTCATATTTTACATTTTTCTATTAAGCAATAAACGATTGCAATTCACATATTTTTTATTCAACACATCTTTTTCCATATCGTCGCACCTTTTTCTAACCCTTTTCATTCACTTATTACCAAGTTTCTTGAAGTTAGATTGAAATTCCATAATTTGTCACACGCTAACTCAACCTAACCTAACCCGACCTAACCTAACTCAGTCTAACATTACTTTAGAATTTAAAAAACTATGTATCCTCAACATCTAACTTGACCTCCAAGTTCCAAATTTACTTTTGTAAAAACTATATTTTCTCAACATCTAACCTGACCTCCGAATTCTAAAAGAAACGTATTTTCGAATAGTGAAACTTAATGCAATTTATAAAAAGTGATTTGTGTGCAACCACCGAGATAACCTATAAGGTTATGTCGATGTGTGCACCTGACAAATTATGGAGTTTTATTCTAATTTCAGGAAACTCGGCAATAAATAATTGAAAAGGGATAGAAAAAGGTGCGATGATATGGAAAAAGTTGTGTTGAATAAAAAAATGTGAATTGCAATGGTTTATTGCTTAAAAAAAAGGTAAAATATGACGTCATACAAAATTTGACAGGCTATATCTCGAAAAATAATTAAGTCCGACAAAAAATAAAAAGTGTTCTGAATAGCTTGAGATGGTCGATATCTGTACTTGGTGTTGAAAAAACTTCATCCTTTATGTATTCCCATTCAAACAAATCTAAAGGAGTAAGATCTGGGGATCGATCTGGCCAGTTAATTGGTATGTTGTTTCCAATCCATTTCCTTGGGAATATTGCATATAAATGTTCCCTTACTATTGCTGCATTATGGGGAGGAGCGCAGTTCTCTTGAAAATATTGTATTTCATAGCGGATATTCAGTAGCAATTCATCTAAGTAGCTATCGAATTCATTGAATAGAAAATGAAGATACATTTCACTATTCAAATGATCATCGTAAAAGAAAGGGCCGAGGATCAAAATGGATTTTTGGAATAGGTTATAAGAGAGTTTGAATAAAATGAAAAAACCCATTATTGAAATTCAATCTCCGATTTCTAGTAGTAGATGAGGATTTTGAAAATTTGATTTGTTTATTCATCTGTTATTTACGAAAAACTTTCCTTTAGCTTGTATGTATGAAGAATCTTACCAAGCATGCAATACATTGGTGGAAGTTCCAGAATACCAAGAGAGAGTTATCAAATTGCAAGCTGCCATCAAATACAGTCAGGAAGACGTACTTTCAGCTAAAAATTTGGTTGAGGCCAGCTCTTCTAACGATCCTGATAAAGAAGTCAACTTGGGTTGCCTCTTATATAAAGTGAGTATCGTGTAGGCTATTGAAATACTAACTATAAGAGGGTGATCCCAAATGTAACCATCCCAACAAAGAAAATATAGAAATTGGGTAAAGTTCTTTGTCTATTGTCATGTGACACAGGTTACATGGTGCGAAACTCAAAGGTGCGCTAATTTATTTATGTTTACGCTTGTTTATTGTTATCTTCCTGAAATAAGTGTTTGTGAACATAAATTGCTTCAATTATTACGATGTCATCCTCTGAAAGTCATGATCCAGAATGGAAGCCAGCGGAAGTGACAAGAGCTGTTCCTCTCGTATAAGTTCGTGCTGAGCAGGTAAATTGGCATAAGACTGAACTTATTGCCATGACACGAGAAAATGCCATTACTTGAACAATGAGTAGAAACCTACTCCATGGTTCATATAATCGCAGGGAAATGCAGGTTAGGTTATGTAAGGTTAGGTTAAGTTAGGTTAGGTTAGATAAGGTTAGGTCCTCGGCCCCACCCTGTGGAACGTCGTGTTCGACGAGGTCTTGCGAGTTCCCAACAGACTGCCAGACACAAGCCTATGCTGACGACCTAGAGTTGACCATCAGTGCAGATACAAAGGAAGAGATGATGGAGAGGGCTAACCTAGCAATGGACCAGGTGAGTCAATGGATAGGTGAAAACGGCATAGAATTCGCCATAAAAAAAACAGGACCATCATTATCAAAGATTCGAGGAAGAGAGAAGGAGTGACCTTCGTCATGGGGGAAATCATAGTCACCCCAAAGAAATATTTAGCTATTTGGATAGATGACAAAACTATTTTTAATGAACACATCAAAAGGACGTGCGAGAAGGCAGATAAGTGACTGTCCTAACCAAGATTCTGCCAAACATAAGCGGCTCAGGACCAAATAAAATAAAGGTGTTATATGGAGTGGTCTAATCTGACCTGCAAAGGAGTATGCTAATCAGAGTGGCGGCCGCATATAGAACAGTTTCAGCAGAAGCTTCACCGTTTCATTTGGTCGACCACTGCGATGCTCGTCTTGGTAGCTCGTACAGCTTCGTTGTTTAAACTATGATACCCAATATTTTACTGTCGTAAACGAAGGAGCAGAGTATAATCCAGTAGAATTGTAACCACATAACGATGACTAATTTCTTCCATTTTCACAAACTCACCGAAAGCGTTCGCTATTGATGGCTGCCAAACGAATACTAAACAACGCAGCGTCTTCCGACTTGAAACATATGCTTTATAGATTGTGTACTTTCTACTACAGTGATATTTCTCAAACAACTACCGCCATCTCTAGGCCAGGCTGGGTACTTCTGGGATCACCCCAGTATTTAGTAAATTCACAAGATTAGAACTCGTTTCAAATTGTTCCACATTGAATATTATGCATTTTTCCAACAATAAAAAATAATTGTATGAAATACGAATTTTGATGGACTTGATTGATATTAAAAAAATGTTAAAATCTTTATTTTCCGTTAACCAACTCTCTGTAATTTTCAGGATGGTAATTATGAAGAAGCGTTATCAAAGTTCAGTTCCTCCCTTCAAAATCAAGGATTCAAACCATTTTTGGCGTATAATACCGCGCTCTGCTATTACAAATTGAAAGAATACGGACCTTCTTTGAAGTACTGCGGTAAGATAATTTTTGTGTTGCTGGTTAGAGAAGAACATATGATAAGGTACTAGTGAGTTTTTCGAAAAAAAAAATCAAACTATTTCAGGCCTGATCAAATTGTTCTTTTAGATTTAGGTGATTTGATTTATAGCCAGTCTCCAAGTATGCCCACTGACTATATGTGAAGTTTTTCCGTATACGAGGAATTGGAAAAATTTCGGATATGCGGTTGGTTACCTCGTTCATAAACAGATGGCGCGATGACAAATCTGTTGTTTGTTGTCCGCTTCAGCCTAGCTCGAGGAATGATACTCTGAAGGAATTCGATTTTCAATTATCTGAAATCATCGACTCTATGTTGATGATAGACACTACCTTGCACTGACGAGTGGCCAAACAGCCCGAAACCGGTCTGCAAGCGTGTTCCAATAATTGAAAATCTATTGCGGCAGTTGTATCGCCAACAGCATATGCAGGAATAACTTCAGTGAAGAATCCTGCACTGACACCTGTCGGATATAATCCAACGCCCTTCGTGGTGTTAGCCAGGGGAGTAGTTATTTCTGATAGGTGTCAGTCCATTATCCTACAGTGTAGGGATTGTAGGGAGTTGAGACTGGCCTGAACAAATTGTTCCTTTAGATGATTTGAGAAAATTTTAGATTTAATTTCTATTTGTCTATCTCAAAATAATTTCCAGTTTGACGAAAAATTCTATTCATGCAGTGAAGGACTAGTAATGGGCAACCCTTTGAGACCCTTGCTGGCTGAAATTTTCATGGATAACATAGAGTATGAAATCCGTAATAATCAGTTAACTAAAAGTTTCTTGTACTGGTACAGATACGTAGATGATATCTTAGTCTGTTTCACTGGTATAGATAGGAAATTAGGCAAGTTCATTGAATATGTCAATTCCCTCCACCCGTCAATAAAATTCACCACTGAGAGGGAGGTAAATAATTCAATAAATTCAATAAATATTATATGGACATTTTTTTTTCGAAAATGTTTTTCTTTCGTGTAATTCAAAGTTTATATGAAAGTAGTTGTTTCGAGGGGGCTTTTTTCTCCCAGTGTGTGTCCCAAAGTTACTTCTTTGCATGATCTACACACATTTATAAAGAGTTTATGAGAGAAAGCCAAAACCTCTTCCAAAAATATCATGTAGTTGGTAACTATGAGCAATAATACCACAATACTGAGTTACTATGACATGTTTTTATGATATTGTTATTCAAAATTTTGTGCCAGTCTTCGATTTTACCACAATAACCCCTCTAAATCTTTCCACGGCATTGATCGATAGAAATTACACTGTTTCTGCTTATATATTTGTTTTGTTGCACGCCGTTCCGTTTTATGGACTTTTTACAGCCGACATAATAGAAAGAGGAATCAGAGACCATCCGGAGTTGAGCATAGGGATGCAAACTGAAGGAATAGAAGTTCGATCTGTCGGAAACACTATCACTTTACACGAAACTTCGCTCACTGAGGCCTTCAATCTGAAAGCTGCTATTGAATACCAACTCAAAAATAGTAAGTACCAGTTTTTTACACCTTATACGTACCTACAGGTCATCAAACTATGATTCTGATGTGAGAAGTAATTTAAATTATTTGTTGCATTTCGTCCGTTTGGACTTCCATTGTCTAATATGATATAAATTGAATTGAAATCCCGGAAAGAATCTGTAAAAAATATAAAAGATTAGCTGAAAAAACAATTTATTTAAGCAAAAAACTGAAAATGCAATGAAATAACATACAAGCAACAACCCAAAAACCAAAAAAATTAACACGAGCTGAAAAATTATAAAATAATTAACAAGACCGTGTTCCGCTTGATTAGAGGTTTCCATATGCTACGTATCTCTACGCTAGCTTGGCTAAATGCGTTGTTGGACAACATATATGCGGCTTCTTTGAATTTTCTTCTAAACCAGTGTTTTATGTGGTCGGCAATGCGAACTTTCAATGGCCTCTTAGTTTCACCGATGTATGATTCTCCGCACTCGCAGGATATCCGTTAAATGCAATTGTTGGAATCGCAGTCCGCGTTTGGTGGCCTGGTTTTTGTGAAGCTGTTACGGATAGTGTTCCCAGATCTGACGCAGGTTCTGATGTTGTACTTGGAACCAATTCTTCATATCCCCTCCGATAATCCTCTGATGTAGGGAAGTACAAGTGCTGGTAGTGGCGGCTTCTCTTCCTTGTGGAGCTCTTGCTGTCTTCTAGCTAAACCCTGTTTCACCATCACTTTGGAGTAACCATTCCGTTGAAGGTCATTTTTGATGATGCCTAGTTCCTTTTCGAGATCTTCTTTTGTAATACAGAGCCCGATGGCACGGTCTAGTAGAGTGTTGATGAACAGCTACTATTGTATAAGTGAGTACCTATTGATTGACTGACACTCTTATATTAACGTACAGTCGAAGCTACTGAACCTAGTCTTGAAATATGCAGGTAGGTTCTTTGTATAGCGTAAATAAGCATCAAGAAAGGTAATCAGGAATTTCCACTCCAAGGGGGCAAAATAGGGTTTCAAGATTATATTGAATTTCGTCAGTTTTGAAGTTGGAAACCTGAAATTTTGGGTCAATACAAAAATGTTGTAACCATTTGTTTGAAATGGCCTGTCACGAAACTTACTGCGAGGAACGCGGGCGAAGCCGCGGGCAATAGCTAGTAATTTATATTGTTACTTCAAAAATACAGTAACTAATGAGCTTTCAATGTAGGATATAACTGTGTCTTAGCTATTTGTGATTTTTGTTTTTTTACCGTGGTCTGCAGGTTTTCAAGGCTGAAGTGCCGTTTTAATGTATGCCGTTTCGTTTACAACTGCGGTAGTCAGGCATGAAACTTGCAGACCACATCAAACAAACCCAGATAATAGGTTTAACACAGCTTCAAATCTATTTTCTTGTGAACAGGACCCTCTTCAACGAAGGAAATCCATCTTATAATATCAACTGTTACAAATTGTAATATTTTTTGAATTTTCATAGTTGACGCAGCCAAAGAAGCACTCACCGATATGCCTCCAAGGGCGGAATACGAACTGGACGCGGTTACGTTGCACAATCAAGCTTTGATGAACTTCGAAAACAATCCGACAGAAGGATTCGAGAAGTTACAGTTTCTGCTGCAGCAGAATCCTTTTCCGCCGGAAACTTTCGCCAATATCCTACTGCTTTACTGTCAACACGAGTGTTACGATTTGGCAGCGGACATTTTGGCTGAAAACGCTCATTTGACTTACAAATATTTGACCCCGGTGAGTTAATATTATATAGTTGTATGGAAGCTAAACCACAACTACCCAAGTTCTGGTAAAAATACTAAACTCTTGCTCCTTATGTGAGACCTACGTTTTGTTTGTACGTGTGGCAGATACCCGACGGAAAAAATAGCCCACCCAATTAATGCCGCGCAGAAAGGTGAAGTAAAGCCATCACAACGTCTTCTTGTGTTTAAATTTTCTCAAACACGGGTCTATCAGACTCATTAACAGCCACAGTAAATCCAAGGAACTAGACGAACTCAAATCCTCCCTTCGCCAAAACTATTATCTCGAATCCCAAATTCAAAGATCCATCCAACTTCAGCAAACCCGTACCCCACAGTTCAATGAACAGACGGACCACCCAAAAGCGTTTCTTCCTCATATTCATGTAGTTACCGACAAAGTGCGCCGAATTCTGAAGAGGCAGCCAACAATCAAATTTTCACTTTTCTACGAACATCTAAGGACACGATACTTAATGAGGCCGGGGGCATATGTTCCACCTTCTCCAGAACTCACGTCGGCCAGACCAACACAGGAGTCTCCAACAAAGCCTATGAACATGAGCTTGCTGTCCGTCAGATCCAGCCTAATTCCTCTTCAAACATCATCGCAAAAAAGGCCACACAATACGCTTCGAAAACACCAAAACCATTGCCACTGAAAAAACTCTCCAGGCCAGGATAATTCGGGTAGCTTTCGAAATTGAAAACGTCTCAACTGCACAAAGATTACTTCATTCATGGAGAGCATCACGCTATACATCTAACAACATTGCATATCATAACTCCGTTCCCACTACCAACTCTACTCTCACTCACACTAACGGTCCGCCCCTCCCTTCGACCAGAGACATAAATACCTGACCAGAGCCTGTGGACCCACAGACAATAGACTAAAAAGTAAAAGCACCTAAAGGCTGACTTTCGATTGAAAGAGGTCAGAGGTCAATCTTGCTGAAGTGCCCATCAGTAAGTTGAGGACCGCTCCGGAGGAGCGGGAGTGGATGGACGGGAGTGGATTACTGCACACAGTAACCGTGTGGAAAAGATTTGAACTCAGGGCACTCAAGCTGGGGGGGGGCATGGGAGGGTGGACCCACAGTCGACGCTTGGGAGTAGGCAGATTGAGACCCTTGCAGAGACCAGCAACAAGACCTAGGAGGTAGGTAAATTGAGGCCCCGGCATCAAGTCACACAGAATAAGACCTCAGTTTAGTCATAGCTTCTTGAATATGGCTTCAAAGTGGAGCGGAAACGTCGAACAACCAAAAACACCTGACTTCAGATTACCATTTATCTGAAGATGATCATAAGAAGACTATTCAACATGGTCAGTGACTCAGTCAAAAAATTAGTATTCAATTCTGACTTTATAGGTTAGAGGATTATAGAAGTTGGCAGAATCGTCAACAAAATTGATAGTATTGTCAGAAGTATTCAAAAAAACAAAATATTCATGGTGAGATGATGGAAACGAGTGGTCCCATTACCTTACTTTGAGGAATAACCCAGACATCACACGGGCTTATGTTGGATATCCAGTTTACTTCCAAAGTATATCTTATGAACGACGTCTGGAACCGCCAAACTGGACACCTACTTTTGGATGTCTCATGGATGGCCATAGAACATCCGTCGAAACATATCCATTCTTAGTCCACTGTGGGATATCTTACGGACATCCATTTCATGTTTAAGGATATATTCCGTCCGAAATGGATATCCATAGATGATGTTTGCGTAACTCAGGGTCTCAGTTCTTGGACTCTTTCACAGAGTGAATTTAGAATCATTTCCTTGCATAATATCTTGGATATGAATCAGTGTTACGATCTTCGTTCACGTTTGAAGTCCGTCGTGGTTTGGAACTGTATATATCCTAACGTTTCGACACGAGTGGCTGGCTTCTTCAGAGGTCTATTCACCCTGATGGTTCACCGATGATTTCTAGTTCGTAAGCTGCATTTATGTTGACACAGGTAGCCCACCTTTCTAGTTGGTGCGTTGTTATTGGCCGAAGTGTTATTACCTGTTAAATTGCGTTGCACTGCTGTCACCTTAGCATCTTTGGCCGAAGTGTTATTACCTGTTAAATTGCGTTGCACTGCTGCCACCTTAGCATCTTTTAGTATGGGATTCCAAATCCGGTTAAGCGTTATCGCCTCCTCTTTTCTGCATGATTGAATGAGTTGATTCAAATATTTCTTTCGAAAAACCAAAGTTGTGATCAACGAAGGATCTAATTTTTTTGCGTTCATTAATATTTTTTATATTTCTTAGTTCAATGGGAACTTGATTGACAAGTTTCGGTCCAAAGTACGTACCAAACCTTTGTATATATACATTTTTACCATGACATTGAGCTTCAAGTTTAATTTATCCATGTAATGAGACCGATTAGGTCTGTTTGGATATAAATAAATGAATAAATAATCAGGACATGATAAATCTAAATACTGTTCGAGACCTGTTAGGCAACTTGACAACGAAGTATTTCCAGGTTTCAATTTGGAAAATCACAGAACACGTCACGCCGCCAAAATTTGCTTGAAAACCGTTACATAACCTCTCCGAAAAGAAATGGAAATATCGATGTTCAAAAATGTTTGTTGCCATTTTCTTTGAAATAATGATTCAGGGCGGAGTCAAAATTATGAATTATTTTTTTTAGTACTTGTACGATTTTCTGGATGCCATCATAACTCAACAGACATCTCCTAGTGAAGCTTACCAAAAATTCGACGAGTTAGCTAGTCGACACACCGAACAACTCAGAAAACTGACAAAGCAGGTACAAGAGCACAGAAACAGAAACGATACAGAGTTGGTCAAAAAAACTGTAATGGATTACGAAGACTATCTTGATAGGTAATAATTTAATAGCTGAGTTTCAATTCTATTTGTCAAGAAGATATTTCCTAGTTCAATTGTACTTACTGCAAAGAAATCCCAAAACTTTGCACACATTCATTCATACTGTTTCAGACGGTCTAACTTTTTCTAAAAGGAACGATTAAGATCTCTCTAACCTATCTCTTGTACATGTCCATGCGATTTTTGAAATCTCTGTAAATCTGTAAACTTCGTAAAAATAATTGCTTTCGTTGAGATATTTTTTATTCTAAAGATAACTGGAAACAAATTAAGTTCATTCTTTTTATGAAAATTAATGGAGTTTTTTCCTTAGAATGTCTATACATTCCTGTCGTCAAAATCTTGGATGTTGGTCCTACATTTGTTCATTACAGATATATACCAGTTTTGATGGCACAGGCTAAAATCTACTGGGATTTGAAAAACTACGCTCAAGTGGAGAAAATTTTCAGAAAAAGCGTCGAATTTTGCAACGACAATGACATCTGGAGACTGAACGTGGCGCATGTTCTGTTTATGCAGGAGAACAAATTCAAGGAAGCCACAGGATTTTACGAGCCTTTGGTGAAAAAAAGTTATGCCGAGGTACGGTATACATTTGAGTCTCAATATTTGAAAGTATAATTGATCAGTTTTCTTATATGGATCCTTGAGAATGATTGAAGATAGTTAGAAACTTTGGCTATCATAGATTTTCCACGATCCTACTGACCATTTTCCGAATGAAAATTATCTATTAGATGGATAGTCTAGGTTATAATTTTTTTGTATAGCCTCGAAACCACATTTTTCGTAGCAACTGAGTCTTCATTTCAGTATTCAGCAACCGAAGATGACTTCCATCCTCCTGCTCTTATCATCTGTTACTGAATTAACACCTGTTTTGCTAACATCACTCACATCAGAATCTTTTCCAGTGATGCATAATGAACTATCTTATCTCGCACATTCGTATTTTTCAGATCCTGAACGTAAATGCCATAGTCCTGGCGAACCTGTGCGTCTCGTACATAATGACGTCACAAAACGAGGAAGCCGAGGACCTAATGCGAAAAATCGAGAAGGAAGAAGATCAGATTACCTTCGAGGAACCTGAACGGAAGGTTTTCCACCACTGCATCGTCAATCTGGTGATCGGGTACGAACAATAATAATAACAAATTCTGACGACCAGTACGACAGGTTTTGTTCCAGCACTCTTTACTGTTCCAAAGGTAACTACGAGTTCGGAATATCTCGAGTAATCAAATCTCTGGAACCGTACGACAAAAAATTGGGAACCGATACTTGGTTTTACGCCAAAAGGTGTTTTTTGAGTCTGGTGGAGAACTTGGCCAAACACATGATCGTACTGAGGGACTCCATCATACAAGAGTGCATTCAGTTTCTGGAAAGCTGCGAAAGTAAGTTTTTATATAGTTGAGTCGGATTAGGTATCGCAAAGACAAATTCTCAAATGTCTATCGCCTTGTTAGCTCACTTCGTACCGCACTTTTAACTATCTGCCCCATCTGCCTGTTGGCAGTGTTTATATATCCTAATGGAACTCTCTGGAAGCCGATACGAATCTTCTCGAAGCGACACGTCACCTAGAACGATCGAGAAACGCAAGTACAGTTGAGCGCGTCCTTGCCCAAGTCTCAGAAGAATGACCAGCGGCGGCCGGCATAATTTTTTTTTGGGAACAATTCACGATAGTGTATTTGTTTTGATGTGGAAAAAATATTTTCTTTAGAGTCGTTCATATATTTCAAATTCCACCTATCAAGTTTTACTATAGTTGTTTTATACTGTATTTCGAGTGTTCTGAATCTTTCCATGCTCTGAAGAGACTATTACTCTTATCAGATTTATCTGGAATGTGGACCACTGAAATCTAAATATTAAGAAGCCATGGCTTCTTGGATACGGTGAGTTTGCATAGGCATACTCTTCTAGTTCATTACAAAAGCCCGAAGCACGATTTTTTCATCCCTTCATTCAATAATTTCAACCCAGTTGAGAGTTTTACTTAGAATGGCTATCAATTCGTGTCATCAAACTCTTGGATGTTGGTCCTACATTTGTTCTTTACAGATATATTCCAATATTGATGCCACAGGCTAGTGTTTACTGTAGATTTGATATACTTAGGCTGCTTTTTCAATTTTCCCATTCCAACAAAAACGTGGCAGTATCTACTATAGAAATAGTTTTACAGTTGATACACCTCGGTTGAATGTCTGCAAATTAAGTAATGTGATGTTGACAAAGTTATCAATCTAAAACTTCCCTATGTATTAGATTGTTTCAGAAGTTTTGTCCGCTTTCACGAGTCTACTCAACAAGTTAAAGAATTAACTGTCCTATTTCCAACAATATTTCACTAATCACAAACTAATTTATTTATTACAACACTTAGCAACTAACGTTTAATGCATTTCCACTATTTGAACTTCTTGTTTAGCCGCTCGATTCACTTTCTCAACTGCCCACTTGGGTCGGGAAGCCGGGCCTATATCGGTAACGGTCCTTTCTAGAAATCTGTAGTCGGTTCGGTTCTAGAGTTTTACTGGCGATTCCCGACTGCATTCTTTCGCGATGATATCATGTATTTGTTCGCTGAGTCGGCCGGCATATCAGTCAGGGACGGCTTCAGATTCGTTACATTACCCCCTTCTTAAAGACATTTTGCCCCGAAATATCATCCTTGGTGTGTGTCGATACCTGTAGGACGCTCCATATCTGCACTATGAAGTTCGATGGAAGTAACACTCCACAGTCTTCATGCTCGGTCGTGGAAGATGGTTACTGCACACCAAAATCTTGATGCCGCTGGATCTGAATATAGTTTCCAACAAGCTTCTCACAATTCTCCAATCTAGCCTGTCAAGCCCAGATGCTAATTTCGAGATTGCCAAGTCCACAAGATTCTGGTCGAGCATCGTGTCCCTCAGTCTGATAAGACTCCTCCAGACATTTTGGTCACCAATTAGAAAATGTTCCTCTGGCCCTTCTTCAACTGTAGCACTCCTCCGACTTCTGGATTCTGTTCTCGTAATGTTTGGAGCTGACCGAATTTCTTGTTGAATACCACAGCGATACCCCTGGACATTTGGAGAATCTCTGCCACGCAGTGAGCTAGTGCGTAATCACCTGAAACCTTGAAAAGGTCTTGTAGCTCTTCCTGAGTTACCCCATGTACGACCTTCTGTCCGTTCGAGTAACAAGACATGAACTTCTGGAACGTCATTTCATCCTCTGGTGGTCTGAGAGCTCGAACTTGGTCTTGATTTCCAGCATAAGGAGCCAATCTATTAAAATGGACCTCGAGGTGGCTTATGGATTCGGTAGACGTGGTCATTTATCTTCTTCATGATTTTGTACGGACCTTTCCATCAGTTCCCCAACTTCGGTGATAAACCACAGCGTCGCTTAGGGATATACAGCCAAACTAGGTCACCGGTTTCGAATCCCCCAGCATTCGCCTTGATATCATAGGCCTTCTTCATTTTATCGCTGGCACTCCGGATGGTTAGACGGACTCGTTAATGGATGTCGTCCATTCTCGACGAAGGTCGTTTTTACCTGATCCTGATTGGCGAAGGTTCTGCCGGTAAAAAAAGTTATTGAAGTGCTTGAAAAGATGGTAGTTGGTTGACGAGAGGTCTGGGTATAGGTGGGTAGTAGGTGAGGCAGAACGCCACTGGCAAGCGGAAAATGCGTTTTGATGCATAAAGCATATGTACTACGTCGCACAAAAATATCCACGGTCATACCAGGGTAATCAAAACTCAATATTTTTTCTTAATAAAGCTTCAGCATCCTGTAGTTAAAAATGTAATGCAGTTCATGTTCAAAATGGACCCAAAAATGGCGTCCTCAAATATTGGCGGGTTATTGAGATGATTATTGTGATTATTTTAAATAGAATAATTAAGATTTTCAATATTGTTTTTCAGTGTATGGAAAAACTGTAAGAACCATAGCATACTCATCTTTATCAGAAGTCAATGAGATTCCCAATGGGAAGGAAACTGTTACTTATGAAGCTAGAAAAATCAAGAGTATTCTACTTAGACTTTTGAATTTTGAAACTTAAATGAATTATTTATTATAAGAATATGATAAACTTATTATTGTATGTTGTAATTGATAACACAGTAAAATGTTTTTAAAATATGTGTATTAATGGTTCCTTATTCAGAAAAAGTTGTGAAAATAGATGAGAAAGGTAAAACTGGAATTTCAGGCGTAGAATAAATCCGAAATAAGCACTGCTCCACCAGAGCTGCCACACATTTCTCGACTCGCTTTTCACCAAGCAAGTGGTGTTTGGGAGCTGAGCTTGTTTTGGAAAATGTATCTAACTATATATTTCCAGAAATATGTTGCTCATTTTTCAAAACTAAACGGAATACTCACAAATGTATATTCATAAAAATGAATTACAAAACACTGGTATCTCTAAAAAACCTAATAATATACTGCTGAAACCTCCAGAGCTTTTTGAAGGGATTTGAAATTGTCGAAATCGAAAGTTGAGTTCAGAATCTTTATATATTTTAGAAAAAAATATTAAAGAAACTGTTATGATTTTTCTTAAAGCTACTGTATTTTACTGTGAAAAATAATTTTTAAGCCGTCATTGATCACAAAATGACATTTGAATATCATTTACTAAAACTCATCTAGATCAAAATCGCTTTAGAGCTAAATAAATATGATGGGCTAAAAAGTTCGTAGGCTAACACACAGATGGCGCTACTAGTATTGAATAATATGGTTCTTAGTTAACCCTAACCTATTTTTTACAAAATAATTAACAAGTTCACACATATGTATTTAACAGTAATCTAAGCTAGGTTTAAGGAAAAAATATATAAAATAAAATTTTAAAAAAATCGTAAAAATAAGTTAATGAATTTACAATCTTTTCACAGTCTTTTCAAATGTTAAAAGGGGCTGTTACCGACCGACGATAGAAAAAGTACACAAAATAATTTTGGATAACCTCAAAGTGAAGTTGATCAAGATAGCTGAGGCTTTAAAGATATCAAAGGAACGTGTTGCAAAAGCTCTGTTCAAAGTGGGTGCCGCGCGAGCTCGCAATCGACCAAAAACAACAACGAATTGATTATTCTGAGCAGTGTTTGAAGCTGTTACAACATAAAAAACCCAAATTTATGCGTCGATATGTGACAATTGATGAAACATGGCTTATCATTTCACACCATAATCAAGAGACAAGAGGAAAAGACAAGAGAAGTCAAGGAGAGAGAAGACAAAACAAGTGAAGAGAGGACAAGATAAAAGAGGAAGAAGGGAGGAGAGGAAGAGATTTGTAACGTAGCGAAAAAGTTGATATTTTTTATAAGATCATCAATTAATAACGAAATGGGAATAATTAGGAAGTTAAATACTTTTTTCTCACACTAGATTTCAAGTTTCATGAAACTTGAACGTTGGTCTTGAGTGTCGTTGATCCTGGGTTCAAGTCTCGTCTACGAGAGATAACTTGAATAAAAAAAATAGGAAATATTTTCAATGATTTTTGTTATGAAATTCGTAGATATTTTTCATTCGGGATATTCTTCACGAAAAAATCTAACTTTAAAATATTCCTGTTATTATTATTCATAAAAGTTCTACTGGTTAGAAATGGTCATTGCCCACTCGGATGATTTTATGACGCAGCTACATAATTTCTCGCTCGAGTTACCTTGCTACTGCTTTCATTGTTTGAGAAAAAACCAATGAAGGTTTGGATAGGAGCACTTGATTTAGCACCGGTTCTGTTATCACCAATGTTTATTTCCACATCACACATATTTTCAAATTCGGGTTTCTATTCAAACAACTGCACACGATCTATCAACTCAGTGTTGAAAAGATTACTAGAGAAATTACAGCTCTTAACTGCCTCAAGTGCATGATTGAATAATTGAGTATCCAACTGAATTGTCTTTTATAACAATAACAAGGGTATTATCAGAAAACACAAAGAAGCCTCTCAAATATTGAAGGAGAGTCAATATCTGTGGAGAAATAAGAGTTTTTATTGACCCTTTCTGGAACTTTTCACCTTGCACAATTATAACAATAACAAGGGTATTATCAGAAAACACAAAGAAGCCTCTCAAATATTGAAGGAGAGTCATTATCTGTGAAGAAATAAAAGTTTTTTATTGACTCTTTCTGGAACTTTTCACCTTGCACAATTTAAAAAAAAATTAAAATGTGTAATAGATCCATGTGTGTAGGAGGGAAAACTTATGAAATAAAAAAATGGTTTGGGGTCGGTTCATACATAGAAAAAATGAACGTTTAGATCTCCCTGATGAACTACTGCGTAAATTCAATACATTTTTCCCAAAGAAAAATGTTCTGTCATCTCTAACTTGTAGTTATTGTTTTAGTCAATAAAAAACTTTGACATATACAAGGTCTGTTAAAAAAAGGTAAGTGTTCAAAATTCGCGGGTAACGTACAGTAGATTAGTGATTTTTATATTTTATGTTGGTAAACTACTCTTGAACATATGTTCACAGTTTCAGCTGTTTAACATGTTTAGTTTTTTGGTGATGGGCATAAAAGCTAGAAATGTTTTGCGTGTTGGGCGAATTTCTGCTATAGAAAAAACTGCACATAGAATTTGCATCAAATGTTGTTTAAAAAATTGGGTGATGTGCATAAAACACTTGAAAAGCTAACAGTGCCATACGGTGATTGTACTCCGAGTCCGAAATATGTACAACAAACTTTCCACAGAAGGTCGAAGAGATGTGAATGATGACACTTGCTCTGGACGTCCCAGCACATCAACAACCGATGAAAATGTTGAGAAAATGAAGAAAATTGTTATAGAGAACCGTCGAATCACTATTAGAGAAGTTGCTGTGGATGTTGACATATCGATGTTATCATGACATAAAATCCAAAGTCCAATCGTTCCAGGAATTCTTGCCACATGGTCGTACGGTCAGTAAGGAGTATTACCTTGAAGTTATGCGCCGCTTGCGAGAAGCGATACGAAGAAAACGTCCAGTATTGTGGAAAAACAATTATTGCTTCTGCATCGGTTCACTCGATATTACTTGTTTTATTTTTTTGGCCGAAAACAAGACTGTATCATGCCTCAGCCACCGTATTCACCAGATTTGCCCTCTTCGACTTTTTTCTGTTCCCGAAATAAAAGAGACCCATGAAAGAACGGCGTTTTGCGAAGATTGAGGAGATGGAAACCGAATTGCTGAGAGTTCAAAGACATATACCAAAAAGTGCATATTATTTTTAATGTTTCTTAAAAAATTACAACCCCGTTTCTCACCCCTGTAGCATGCATTCACCCTATATATTCATCCTTTCCGCGTCCCTGCCCCTCACTCTTGGCGGCAGTTGGTCGAGCGGAATGCAGATCTTCTTCAGTACCTTCTCTTGGTAAGTCGTCAAGCACTTACTTATTGGTATTGGGTCAAGCCTAGGCCAGACCTGAAATAACTCCCGAAGGGATGAAAACGGTTTATATTTCATGTCTGTGCCGTCGGCTTGACCTCTATGAGATGTGTTTGGACTCTGACGACGCGGAAAAGCGTACTGTGACTCTGGAAGTATATATACATACACATGTATACATGTGTATATGGTTATAGCTAAAAGAAACTGATCTGCTCTATTTAGATTATATTTTGAATAGTAAAATAAACATCAGTCTTCTATTAAATGAGATAACAACAAACGAAAACACAAAAGACGAGTAGTGCTGCACACCGACTCAAAAAGAAACTCTCAACACGCAGAACTCTTAGTGCTGCAAATATAAACTTTGGCGCCATCATAATGCTATGAAACTATTTTGTACTAAATCCGATTTAGCCTCGTCAAGTGGACCAGTCTTTTTTATGTCTTTGTAATAGTATTTGAAGAAATTTTTTCTTCCGTTCCAGTTTCCATTCTTTAGGATTATATCCAGAGGCAAGTCGTTATATCTTGATGAGGCCACTGCAGATCGGACACTTCCCGGAGAATCATTGATGCCCGCTTGTTTAAAACATGTCTTGGCCCATCCTGCTATGATTGCTCGAGAGGCTGGTCCTACCTTGCCCCTAGTTGTGATGAACAGCTGATGTAAATCTTGGCTAGTTCGTCTCCTTTCTGCTGAGATTAAAATTAGATGTTTCAGCCAATAAATTGGATCTAACGGTCTCTCTGAGCCCTTGGAAAGTTTCCAGCCTGATTGCCTGTGTGATATGCTATCTGTCTTGGATCCAAAAGCTGCCCATAATGAGGCAGAATAATCATCCATCTCCAAACTCTTCTGATCAATTCTCAAAAGTGTTAAATCATGGATTCTGAGTAAGTCCTCAGTGAAGACTTTCTCCATGAATTTGCTAGAAGGTCCACATCTTCTTTGGGCCAGGTTCCTATGATATTGGACCACCCCGTATTTTCCAGGCCTCCAAGTAAAGGTTCTGAGCTTGAGGTAAGGGGCTGTTCGTCTGAGCATCTACTAGATGATGCTGGAGGTTTCTTATTCGGAGTAAGTTCCTTTCAAATTTTCTTCGATATCTTCTACGCTGTTCATGTAGTTCAGGTTTCTGAAGACCAGAATTAGGTTTCCGAAACATCAAGTAAAGTACAGTAAAATGGAAAATTATATAAATTTCTTCCAAGAACTAGTTCTTGCACATCAAAAATCAGACCACTAAATAAATATAAACACAAAACAGTGGATAATGATAATAAATTTATTCATATTAAAAAAAATATAGTTCCATAAATACATAACATTTGTAATGTGGAAGTAAAGGAAGGCATTTGGATTGTATGAGTACATTATTAACAAATATATCCATAACAAATTTTTGAATTAAGTTCAAAGTTATTTACCCAAATATAAATAAAATTCAGAATATTAATAACTGAATCATCAATATTCCAAAACTATGTTTCTTGAACAAAAAATACTTTTTCATGGTATTCAATGAATCACTATATTTTCAATAAGTACAAAATATACTGGACAACCAATTTGAATTATGAATAAAACAAATTTTGGATTCGAGTTATAGGTAATTCAACAAATTCTAAAAAAAGACTGGGTATTTAATACTGCCAGAGTTCCAGCTGTAGTTGAAAATTTGCCTCTAATGCACTGCAGCAGATCCATAACGAATTTCTCTTTCAAACTGTTCAGCTTTAAGAGTTCCATCGATACTTTTACAATCTTTATTGAAAACTGAATAAGCACTGACTTCGCCTTTCACCTTTGGCCTAGTCCTTGTGTTGAGATATATCCCAACAAGACCTGAAGTTAAGAAGTATACTGTGCCGAACTGCAATTTAATAAATATAGACCAAAGCGTGGCCCACAGTGCGAGACATAAACCATAGTAAAAAAGATCAGTGTATGTACAACAGTTTAGGGAATCATCTACATCCACGTCACTTTCCAAGTCATTGTCACTGCTTATCAATGTTTTTGAATCAGGTTCATCTACATCATTCTCATCCAAAAGTTTCTTTTTCAAGTCCTAGAAAATAAATAGATATAATTATTTGAAATTGTACTTGAATATTCAATGTACCTTGTCCTTATCACATTCTTTTGTTTTGGAGAAAAAACTGAACAGTTTTCGTGAAGTTTTTGGTTTTTCTTCTAATGCCTTCCTAGCTCTGTACTCCGCTAGTTTCTTCTCTACGTCAGTCATGATTTAAATAACATTTTATGAAGTAAAATATATATAAAAAACAAAACGCTACTACTACTTTCTACTACTCATTTCCACAGAAACAAGAAATAACCTCAATAACCAACCAACAAGTTGTCGTTCCATGTCATCCTCTCTGTTTATATTTCCATAGTGTCACAACGTCATTTTAGGGTCAGCTGTCGTTACACAATGTCAGCCTGGATTTCCCCCGTATAATCTTTACTTCTCTGGAATCTCAATTATCTTCGTATTTAGAAGTCTACACGAACTTCCTACCTAGTTCAAGTCCACGAAATATCAGACTTGAACAAGTTTCAAAAAATTAATTTGAACCAATATGAAATATATTAATGAATTGATCTGCTATGAATACCTCTCTTTGTAATTTAATAGATGTTTGTTTTTCAAGATATTTTTTTTATAATTAATTCGGCCGTTACTTGATGAAGATCCATAATAATTTCATAAACTACACCTCACGATTTAATCTCAACAAGTCAAGATATTCCAAAGAAAATTAGGGTAACTTTGAAAAAAGCCTTCCTGGCTTTATTTCCAATTAAAAAAATAGCATCTATTGAAATATTTTTTCCGTTAACCAGCTCTTCCCTCCTACGAACGAAAACTCTCAGAATTCCAATCTTGTGCGAGCTGAGAATTGAAGAGGTCTTGCCTTTCATAACGTGCGAGTTTTATTACATGTAGAAACGTTTAGGATTTATGGAAGGCATCGTGATTATACCAAAATCATGATTGTACACTGACATTGTTTCGGCCGATGCTTACTCGGGCTCTCAATAACATGAAGAAATATGCAATTGCGCATATTGTAACGATTTGGTATTAGTCCATGAATATATTTGATGGGATTCACGATTGCCTTGAAAACACAGGATACTGTGTACTTTACCCATGCTGTGCTTAGAAATAAACTAGTAGCCCAACCCGATTAAATTATCGGTCTATATAAAGTCTTTGGTCTACGATTATATGTTGTTTCATTTATAAACCAGAAAAAATCAACGAAACATTTATCCTCCAATATTGAAAGTACTTGTTTCGGATGGTCCGTTTCTTCTACGTATGATCTACACATCTTTGTAGAATTGAATGACGTTACCTTCTTTATATTTCCGTAAATTTCTGTTTTTCGTATAAAAAACATTAAATTTTCAATTTCAACTATTCTACTATTTTATCTTAACGTTCAATACAGTTATTTCATTTCATGGAAGTGTGACATTTCTTAGAGTCACGAACCTCACGATTCACGTCTCTCTCTCTTATGATAATGGCTTTTGCTACCGTTGAGGTGCATTAAGCCATCGATTCACGTCTTCATAACTGAAACTAATAGCATAACTTTATATTTGTTCTGTGATATGGTTTTGACATTTCTTAGAGTCACGAACCTCACGATTCACGTCTTCATAACTAAAACTAATAGCATAGACTTTATATTTGTTCTGTGATATGGTTTTGAGGTGTCCCATGTTCAACCAGCTGTTATGTATTTTCTTTTTGTTAACCAATAAACCAATTCATTTTGACAGTTCGAAAAGACTGAGTCAAATACACAAATTACAGAATTTTTAGTATTTTTCCGTGTTGAATATAAAATGGGAAGTAACGCAAAGGCCGTCATGACTGGTTTTATCTGTAAATTATGTTCTGAGCAAAAAAAGATAGTAATTCATCTCTACTCCCAAAGAGCTAAAAAACTAGACTTAATTGAAAAAATCAAGTTACTACCAATTGAAGTGAGTATAATCTTAATTCATGCAAAATGTAAAATTCTTACCATGTTTCATTCTGTAGTTAAATAAGTATGATAATCTGCCAAAAACTATTTGCGAACAATGTATCCAGAGGCTTGAAGCACAGTATAATCTAATTCAGAAGATTAGGAAAAGCCAAGCAATTCACACAAGTCATAGAATGTATCATGTAAGTTTTTGCTCCAGCTAAGGAATTGTTGCAATTTTTGATTTTTCAGAGTAACGGGAGGTGTCCAGTGGAATGCCCCCTTCATGGATTTGATGATCCCGCATGGGCAGAGCCTACTTTAAACGACGAAACAGATACTTAAATTCCAGCACTGTTTATTGTAATGTATATATTTTTTGTCGGTCATGGTTATGTTTATTGATAGTATTGATTTATGAATTGGAACAGACAACTAGAAACAAGTTGATTGTACAGAACTTGCTTTTTTCAAGAGGATTCTACCATCATTAAAACCAATGTAAATAGTTGAATAAATTCAACCCAAAAAACATCTCTTCATTTGAAAAAAGAATAGAATGGTTTTTTTTCAGTAATGTTCATTACACAAGTCCAGTTTTACAGCACATTGGAGAGATCAATAAAAAACACAAGACATAAGTACTAAGAAAATAGGTAAAAGGAGAAATTGATTTATATTCACTTGAAAAAACTATTTCCGGTGAGGTGAGTAAATTTAATAGTTATTCAGATAGTTTACAAGACAAAAACTCTTCAACAGAGTAAAAGCTTATTTTCAACGGCAGTTGCTTCTATCTAATCATAAGTTAATGGCTTCAGAAAAACTGATTATGGATAACTCTTGTCTTTTAAAGAGAAACAAAATAAGGACTGGTAGGCTATAGTCGAATGGAATCTGAAGTACCCAACGTTTCATCTACTAGTACAGCAGAAATTGTCAGTGGTATGTGTGTTGTCTGTGACAATGAAGATTATATCTTGAAGTCTCAGCAACTACTGACTGTCGGTCAATCACAGTAGCAGACGAAACGTTTGCTGCTTTAGGTTCCATTCAACTGCGGCCTACTCGCCTAGATTTTGTTCCCTTCAATTATAACTGGGGCCTTGATAGCCTATATTCTTCTTTTCTCAGTAGTCACAATGGTAGATGATGGTTTTGAACTACTGTTAACAAAGTGATCATCGAAACTCTCATAAATTTCAGTAGTGTCTTTTATCTGCTTTCTGTTCGAATCAATAGGACATTTACTGACATTTATATTCGAGTTGAAGGCCGCATAATATGTTAAATTGGGATGTGTTTGAAATGAGAAAAATTTGCTAAAAAATGAAACAATTAGTTTATTAATATGTAGCATCAGGAATCAGTCAACCGAATTACAAAAAATGTCAATAAATACTTGTCTATTCTACATACATTTGAGAAATTTTTTTGACATAAAAAAATATTTTCGCCTTATATACAAAGCTAATATAAAACGAACTTTTCGTGCAACTTGATTTTCATCAATTGAAATCAAGAGAGATTGCTTATTTACAGCTATTGACAAAAATATTCTCAATCCAAAACGGAATTTAAATCTGAAATATATTGTGAAAGAAGTATGGTTGTTAATTTTTTTGCTTAGGGGCCTCTTCTTTTCACTTGAGCCCCACGTTTTCCTAACGAGTAGTGCCTTCAAATTAAACATTCGTACCTCTTTGGTACCTAACTGTTCACCGGAGGAGTTTTGTACCCTAAATATACCTGAAGAATAAAAATATTATATAAAATCCCGGAAAAGTTCAGCAAAATGAAATTCATTAGTTACTACTAATAGTCTGGATTTTTATGATGAAAAACGAATCATTTTGAAGTGATTTCTAATGATTACTAAAGTAATATTTATGGGGAAGTCCATTACTGTGACAAAGTCATAAGAATTATTCCCTTATACAAAAAATTATTCCAAAATTCTATACTTCAAAATATGTTCAACAATATAGGATTATAAATAAAAGGTGAAACTGTAACCTCTGGCAAAAAATAAATCCAAAAACCAACACTTTTCCCAATCACCAGGACTCATTAAATTGCTAAATGGATGTCTAAGTGAAAGTAGTTTTCAAAACTTCTTATTCACTTCAACAAATGTTAGGTAACTTAAAAAACAAGATGTTAAGTAGTGGATTTATGAAATGAGCCCTGAGAACTGTGACAAAAAATATATAGGTCAAACTAGGCGAGCCACTAAAACTCGTTTCAAAGAACACACAGCGCATATCCTATTTCGAAGACCAGAAAAAGCAATTGACGCAGTGGATTTTTTTTTGCTTTCAAAAGTCTGGAATTAGCAAACTATGGCATAAGAACGATGAGCAGTGACAAAGGTCCCATTTACCTTTTTATGAACCACTTGGTTCACTCTTCAAGAGGAAGGGAAGATAATCACTTGGTAATTGAAACACGTGGGAGAGGCGAGTTTTTGCCAATTCCATTAAAAATACAGTTATAGCTTTACATCTTTCAGAATCACATTGTATTCAAACTAATTGTGAACTATAGTATTTGAATTAAACATAGCCTTGATTCAAAACTTTTTTCCGTTTTTCTGTATCGAACAAACCGACTTTGACCACTGAAGGTACCCCTCCAAATCTGCTACTGCACTCCTCATTTGTAATAAAAATAAACATTTAAGTGAAAGTCCCCCAACAAAAAAAAATTCTAGAGCCACTCTGTAAATAACTCCCTTCTTCATAGCAAATAATAAATCTTATCTTTCCCCTACATTAATTGACCTGGGAAAATTATATTTAGCAATTATTAAATTGTGACTTGAGTGATTTTACAATTATTGGAGGACGAATTGTCTTGAGGTGTTTACACTGGGCTTACATCACACAATTGTAGGTTATATTTAGAGTAATCATATGATTAGTAATATGCTTATCATTTAGCAAATGGTAAATTACATTAGGTTGGGACATCTGCGAGTCTTGCAAACTTTATTTTCAGATAATAATGAATTCCATATATCAGCATACTAGAATGGAAAACCCATTTTTGTTACTTTCAAGAAAAAAAATTGAAAAAGAAAAATAACTGTAAATTCAACTTCACTACAAAAAAATAAATCTCAACTCGTTTTGATATTGATACAGAGTAAGCGGAAACAGTTTTCCACAAATATCTATAGATATATTAACGTATTCAAAAATACTTTATTGTGAGACTTTCACTAAACAGTAAATTACCCCAATTCCTGAATCTATTGATTTCTAAACATTCTAGAAGATTGAGTTTCAAAGTTCTCTCTTCTAAATATAACACGTCATATTCATGATTGAACTCATGCCTTTCTGCTAAAAGGTGATTTACAAATGTGGAATTGGTCTTGCTATTAATAAAACTACTTCTATGATTTTCAATTCTTTGGGAATGTTCTCCCTGTTTGGGCAAGAGCCACAAGTCAGCTTATATACTACTGATCTATTCGACAACGAAGTTTTCTCTTTATTGTTTTTAACAAATTCATTTCATATTTGAGTGAACCCACCACTAATATTTCCCGTTTTTTGAAGAAAGAATAAGTATAATAGTCTAACTCTGTGACAGATAGATCAGGAGTACATAAGCCGACTTGTGGCTCTTGCCCAAAACTATATATTGGCCAAACAGGGAGAACATTTTCCCAAAGAATTAAAGACCATGGAAGTAGTTTTGTAAATAGAAAAACCAATTCTACATTTGCAAACCACCTTTTAGCAGATGGACATGAGTTCAATCATGAATACGACGTGTTACATTTAAAAAAGAAGAGTTTGAAACTCAATATTCTAGAATGTTTTTCAAATGTGGAAACTGAGACATGAGCTCAGGTAATATAATTCATTACAAACTCAGCTACTTGAAATGTAGGTACTTCAAATTGTGAAATTAGGTATACAAATCATTGAATATGTAGAATATTGTTAGTAAAGACACTCCCAAAAAAGCCATTGTATGGCGAAACACTGTTTCGTGAAAATCCCACAATAAAGTGTTTTTTGAGTCCTTTAGTTATGGATTTTCATCAAGTATCGGCCAATTACATCATATATTTGTAGATATATTATCCTGAAATAATCAGGTTAAGAGTTGCTTATTTTTACTTTGGTTACATTCTTTTGCAGAAGTATAGATCAAGAAACTCAACAGAAATCAACTTCTTTTCCAAGAGTTAAATTGATTCAAATAACTAATAAATTAGTGATGAATGGTCTTTAGAAAAAAATAATATAAACGAATTCATCATTGTTTCTTCTTACCATATACAAGTCTTTATCCAATAGAATCTAAATTAACATCGTCAACTCATAACTAAGATTTAAATTACTATTACACAAAATAAACTGAAAAACTTGACACATCACAACCAAATAAAAAGATATAAAAAAGAGGCATGTTCGCAATGTACGAAGACATCACAACTTTTCCAGAAGGTTTTTCAAAATCATTTTCACTTATAAATAACCTTTAGAGATCAGATTTTCTGGGAGTTCAGACGAGTTAATAGGTTTTCAAACTCGAACTTACAGATATGTGATGTATGCACCTTATTCATTCATTTGTTAATTTATAATTTAATAGCATTATGATTATGATATATACTGTAACGAATCTGAAGCTGAACCTGACCCATACGCCAGCCAATTCATCGAATGAATACATGACTCACCGCGAAAGAATGCAGTCTGAAACCGCCGCGAAAATTCTAGACGAGTACCTAACAGACTACAGAATTCTACGATGGACCTTTACCGATATAAAAGGCCGGCTTTTCGTCCAGAGAGACAGTTAATTGGTTAATTTGTCAGAAGTGGGATTTTTCAAATAAATTTGTGAGCGCTTGGTGGAGAATCTTTGTATTACAGTGAAATTGACTATAAAACTCATTTGTTTGCGCAGAGAGACTGGTGATTCTTTGTGTTTTGCGAAGTGGACAGTACCGGACTACGGAAACATAAACTGATAGACCTTTCTCGCGAAAAATAGACTTGTGAAAGTAAATAAGTGTTTCGGACTCGATTAAAATAAGTGGACATATACAATTTTGTAGAAAATAGACAATAAGAGACAAAATGTGTTTGAGGAAAGTGCGCCTAGTGGACTTGGAAGTTGCCGAATTGAAGTAAGAATTGGAGCAGAGTAAGCTAGATTGTTCTGGAAAGAAATTAGTACTCCAAAAGAGACTGTGGGATAACTTGACTGAATCAGGAGAAGATCCCGAAACATATTTATTCAATGAATTGGCTGGCAGTCCAATACAATCAATTAAAGAGGTGTATAAGACAGTTTGTTTTTATGGAGGGAGATTATATTTTTGTAAATTTTCAAAAGTATAATTTGATGCTCAATTTCTCTTCAATAATATTCTTGATTTTTACAGTCAAAGTAAAAGGAAGGCTGGAGTGCAATTTATTGTAATGCATACTTGGAACAATTCAATATAACATTTAAATGTTTTTCAAAATATCAAATAAAAAAGTCTTCTATCATTTTTTATTGCAATATTACTATTAATTCAAGCTTTTTAATTATGTTTGTGTTATATTGTGTACTATTCAGGTGAGATATGCAGATGAAAGTTAGTGATTCACCTGAAGAAAAGAGAAAATGTAGCCAATGGAACCTGTAGAGAGCATTGGAAGCCATAATTTCAAAACAGACCAATATACATGGTGTTCTATAAATGTGTAATGCGATAAGTTACGCTTTCATCAGTCACAATATTTATTGGTATTGGTAACTGTTTATAAGAAAGTTTTAAAATACCTAACGAAATCTAACATCATGAGCTTGCCAACGCAGATGAAGCTAAACTGTGCAAATAATTATCTACAAATGTGAAATCAATAAGATCAACGAATAATTAATTTTTTCAACAGATTAATTAAAATCTCAAAGCAATATTACCACTAGCATTGCATCACTCTGTATACTTTCATAACAGTTTGGCACTTGATGCCGATTTTTCCACAACGCCTTTCTAAACAAAGGTGGTTTTAGGTTCATTTCAATAATTTCATGTCCAAATATCGAACCTTGATATAATCAGTCATAGGTTTATTCTCATTAAATGAATCTGCAAATATCTTAGTCATAAGGTAAAGCCGTTTTTAAAATTCATAGCAGCAGAGCCTCTCCATGTGATTCATTTATGATTGGCTAAACAGTAACAATTCCAGTCAACAATTTAGAAAAACAAAGGAACCTATAAATTTGTTATTCCTTTTCTCAAAAACATCGCATTAATGTTCCTTTTCCTCAAAAACAATTTTATCAAAGGTAGGTAAGGGTTGAAAAATTTTACCTACGGATTTGTAGACTGTACATTTATATGTAATTAGTTAGGATAATTACTAACATGAATGGGAAATGTAGCCCTGGGATCATTAGACATCCTTATAATTTAAATGTTTCAATATCGAACACTTCCAAAATATTTTCGCTTAATTTTTTACTTTATAGAGATGACATCATTGAATCAAATCAATTTTTATGTATTTCTGATAACGCAATAACAAACAATGGTCAGGATTGCCAGATATTTTTCCTCAAGTGGGGATAGTCCCACTTTTTGCGGGACATTAAAAAAAAAATTGGGGCATCAAAAACAATAAGGCTGGCCCCACTAGCAATTACCGGTATTCATTCATAAGCTGCCTGTGAAAGACTCATTCATGATAAGATGATTTTCCAATGATCCAAGTTCAACTGTCAGTTACTAGATTTTTCTATTGAGACTGGATTACTTCAGATTAGATTACTTGTCGAACAAAATCTTTATATGTTGAAGAATGAAGTGAATGAAATTTTTGTGGGAATAATTTGTCAGTCGTTACGAATAACGATATTAAAAAATAGGAAGCCGTAGTCAATAAAAAATACAAAAATATGGATAAAATATCCTTTAGCGTTTAGTGCATTGCAACCTCTGAACAAAATTCAACCCGTTTGAAGAAATCGTGAGCCTTCAAAATTGTAACCCTTCCGAACAGAAATCAGTAAGATCTAAAGAACGACTGCAGTCCCTCTAAAACAGATCCGCTTCGTTGTTCGTTCCTTTTGTTCGATTTAGGTAGACATACTACTCCGGGACTTTTTAACTACGCGAACTACCTGCCAGTGAATCCCCTCCAGATAGAAGCAATACCGGCCGCTGCAGTGTTCACCAAACTGCTGGCCATGGTGGTCGTCTGCTGAGTTCCAGATGCCTGGGGAGCCTGCGTGATAGCGGGGCCTGCCGCCATCTCTGGACATTGCACGTGCGGTACCTTGAGAAATAAATCAATGATTAACTTTGCAAAATGTGCTAGGTATAGAACGTTAAAAGATAAGACCACATTAAAACCTTGTTTGTTCAAATATATTTACGTCATCTAGGGGTTGCCATTGACAGAATAAACGTGAAAAATCATTCCAACTCACTCCAGAAACAAATTTAAAGAAAATTATGTTGGTTTTATTCTCATTGAAACATAAAGAATTGGAATCGCAGCAATATTTGACTTTCTCTAAATCAGCCATGATTATATTTTTAAAAGAGTCTGTATCGTTTCCATGCCATAGTATGATTGTATCGTTTGCAAACATTGTAAACTTCCTGTTCTACAATTGACAATATATTCATATTGAGAATCATAAAACCTCCCCACTAAAGACATGCAAAGCATGGAATTAGAAAAATATAGTGACAGTATTTCTTGATTCAAAAAGAGCTTTCGAAACAATAAATAGGAATTCAAAATTTTTCAAAAGCATTCGACTGTGTTAATCACAGATTACTGCTCAAAACATTATATTGCTATGGATTTAGAGGAGTGACACTCGACTGGTTTGCAAACTATCTTTCGAACCGAAATCTGATTGTCAAATTGCCAAATTGTTCCTCTGATATCTCAAAAATAAACTGGGGAGTTCCCCAAGGATCCGTTCTTGGTCCAATTCTTTTCCTTATTTACATTAATGACAGTAAGATTGATATATATGGAACCTTTACCATGTTTGCAGACGATACCACCATACTATGGCATGGAAGTGATATAGAAATTCTGAAAGAGAGTATCTTTCTAGACTTACAGAAAGTTAAAACCTGGTGTGACTCAAACTATCTTTGCTTCAACGGAAATAAAACCAAAATCCTGACCTTCAAGTTTAATTATGAAAATCTGACCTTGAANCCTGACATCTATATCTACACCCAGAAATTTAGTGTGCAGCATGTCTAGGTCGTTTTCTACATTGTAGAATAGCCTGGATTCGAAAATGAGACTTTTGGTTTTTTTTTCATTGAGTATGAGCTTGTTTGTCAAGAACCAGGTTTTTGCTTGTTCCATAACTTCCCCAAGTATTGTAGCCGGACACTCCCCTTTATTGATACTGATGCCAAATGTGGTGTCATCAGCATACATAATTGTCTCGATATTTGAGGAGAATATATTTGGCAAATCGTTTATATAAATAATAAAGAGAAGATGGCCCAATATTGATCCCTGAGAAACTCCCCTACTTATTATCTGAGGAGTGCTTCTCTGATTTTCAATACAAACTACTTGAAATCGATTGGACAAGAAAAGAGCCTAGAACTGATAATAAATAATGAATATAATCGCAATTACCTTCCCAAGTCACAGAATTTGTCTTCGACCAACCGTAAAAGGTTACGAATGGTTTGAGCAGATTTCAGTTCCTTGAGATTCACGTTTTGGAGGAAGAGTAAGTAGAGAATATTTGCGTTTAATCTAGTGAGCCTTCTGGTGAATTGTTCTTCGTCCATGAAGGAAGAGCAATAATCACTAAAAAAAAAAAAATGTTATTAGATAAAAGTAATCTTATATCTCGTATTATTGTAAGAATATCTAGATTACAAGATAGCAAGAAAAGCTTTAAGAGAAATATTTCACAATTCTCATTCAACAGCCGGCCCAGTAATATCCACAAAAGTATTTGAATTTACTACTTAGGGGGGGAGTTTTTATGGGATTTTATTCATCCCAAACTTAGATGATTAAACATGCATTAAATTAGAAACAATTAATATATGGAAATGACGATCAGTATACCTGTACTGCATTTTGCAAGGAAGCCTGATGTTGAGATAGTACGACAAAAGTATAACCAGTTGAGAAGTGTATGTCAAACCGGCACTAATCGTAAATGCCGGATTCAGTTGAACTGAAGACGTAGAGTCGGAACTGGGAACAACATCTTGATTGCAAGAAACTGCAAAAAAATTTAAAACATCACATACAAAAAGTGAACTACATATTTCTTATTATAACAATTAAAATTCAATATAATAGTGTCTATCAATAACTAATCAAGGTATTTGTAAGGATTTTGTAATCGCATATTTTAGAGACTATTGTAGGGTCTATAGAAAGGTAATCAAACAAAAAAATTATCAAAATAGAACAATAAAAACTGATTTAGCCAAAACTAGCTGGAATATCATGTACTTTCATTTATTTATTATTTATTTCATGAACATTTTTTTTCAGTAGGTTATAGTAGGTTAAATCATGATCTCACTAGGTATGTTTCTGTTTTAGCATTCTTACTATTCATTATTTACTATTATCTTCATCTTCACAACAAAATCTTAGAATTATTTCACAAAATCAGTAAAGATTCCAAGAAAAAATACTACTCATTTCTAAAAAAAAATTTCTACAAAAGTCAATAATGATGGCAGGAATATTTAGTTATATTTCTTGAAAGCATTTGACTTCGTTAATCATTATAAATTTTTGTCCAAGCTTCACCGCTATAGCTTCAGAGGAGTGAAATCATTTGACAGGCAGTCACAAATAGTTAAAAAGTCAACATTATTTAATATATGGTGTTTCTCAAGGTTACACATTAGGACTAAACAAATAGTTTATAATTTATGACATTNACAACATAATTTCCAATTTCCTCTACTTTACTTTCATACCTTGGCAAATTCTTCTTACGTGTGGTATTACTACCTTTCAATTCTAATAACCTTGCATTATTCAACTCTCTCCTTTCTTTATTCATTTCCAAAGCTAATTTAGTCATTTCTATTCGTTGAAGGGCTGTTTTTATGCTTGAAGTCTAAAAAAATAAAATCTAGAAAGACATTCATCAAGTTCATGTCGAGACTCTATACCAATTTCTGGCGCTTCAGACGTCTTTCGTGTAAAAATTCAATTTGATTATCAAATCCGAATGGATTGTCTCTGAGGGCTCGTAAAGTTCTAAGACTTGCCAAATACGCCGAATACCAAACGAATATTTGATGCATCACTATAGATTATATAATGATTTCAAATGGAATATCATTATGAATTTTTATATAAATCAATTCTTTAGGTAGAACGTATAAGATTTTCAAAGAAGATACCCATTCTTGCACTTGATTATACTCCCTTGAAACCGTAATGGCTGAACGGCAAAAAATAACCGGAGATAAACTGAGGAAATAATAATGTCAATTCAAAGCTAGCTTAATATTTCATTTGTGTATTTGGTGTCTAAGTTTTACCCTCAGAGTAGTAAAAAATATTATTACTCTGAGGTTTTACCTGAGAACAAATATTGGTTTTGTGTCTTTTGATCTACCCGTATTCACACCAAAAAAGTTTGATTTTGCGCATCGTTACATCGTCATCTGTTCAAACTATTTACTATCTTCTGATTGGGTGGAAGTGTCGTCATCTCAAATTTCTATTTTTAGATAGCGCAAGCGTAACTAGTTTCCAAAACGCCATATTTTTATTTTATTGTTGTGTATTGTAAAAGGGGGCCCTAGACATAGATTTGTTATGTAAAAATTGAAATTAACAATGATTTTATTATAATGTAATATAGGTGAGATATCTCGAATATCCCAACGAATTTATTTTACACCACGCATTTTCAAATTTATTTTAGGGAAAATGAAGTTACGTTAATGAATTAGGGCTTGAAAATAGAAACAGAATGGGAGCTTTTCTTGATAAACCAAAGACAGACAAGTTTCAGGAATGCGGGGAAGGTAATGGCATTCGATATGGGGTTGCGAGCATGCAGGGTTGGCGTGTGGAGATGGAAGATGCTCACATGGCCAAAACCAACCTAGGAGAAGCTCTGAAGGATTGGTCTTATTTTGCTGTGTTTGATGGTCACGCTGGAGCCAAAGTGTCGGCACACTGTGCTGAACATTTATTGGATACAATTATGGCTACAGAAGATTTTCACGAAGACGTTTTAAAGGCCATTCACAAGGGATTCTTGGGTAACTAGGAAAATTATTTATTCATTAAAAAATTACGACTGTCAAAGTTTGATGAATTATCGCAATTTTTTATCTCATGAGGGCTTTTGATACTATCAACCATGCTCTTGAAAAGCTTCATTTTGTCAAGGTATGACTAGTTATATTTTCACAAACTACATCTAACGATTCGATCTTCACAAACTTTATTTTCAAAAATATCACATGTTTCGCTATCACAGTAGCCTTTTCGTAGTGAATAACATACTAAAAGTTAATTCTTTACTATAATTTTTATATACCCCACGTAATCACATTTACTCAACTTCAATAGAGGTATATATAATTATGATCGGGGAAGTACTTGAGTGGGTACGTGGAGTATATAAAAATTACAGTGGAGAATTAACTTTTAGTATGTTAATCACTACGAAAAAAACTATTGTGATAGCAAACATGTCGTGATATTTTTGAAAATAAAGTTTGTGAAGATCAAATCGTTAGGTATAGTTTGTCAAATTTCTATGGATCTTCATTAAGTAACGTTCGAGTTAATCAGATGATTGGTTATAATTGGAAACTCCAATTAATATTTTGAGCTTTTGTAGTCATAACTATGGCTTATTAAAACAACAAAATTTAAGTTTATACACACTTTTCCCTTTGCTGAGTCAACTTCTTCGACAGATATCAGAGGAGTTGTGGAATGTATAAAGTGTTTTTACTTCTCCAGTACAATTTTCATATTTTTCAAGTTATGGGATTTGAAAATACCCAAAGAAGGTCGATAAGCAAAATTATAATTGTTTCTTACTGTTTTATTGGATATATAACCTTCCACAATTTAGCTTTCTTTAGTGGACGATGTTTTGAAAAAAAAATTCTGATTTCAAAACCTGTGATTCCTTTTGAAGCTTTCACCTCAAATAGCTCTAATTCTTTTGACATACGCCTTTTGGCGTGAATTTCAAATTTCCTATTTTTGTTGCTTAATTTGGGCATCTGTGTAAGAATTTTTTTTTTAAACTCACTATTTTATTTTTTTTAATGTTTAATCAGAACTGGACAGTAAGATGAGGAGCCTACCTGAAATGACTTCGGGCGAGGACAAAAGTGGGACAACAGCCGTTTGCGCATTCGTGTCTCCACGTTCAATATATGTGGCCAATTGTGGAGATTCGCGTGCCGTGTTGTGTCGAGGCGGAGCCCCTATCTTTACCACTCTCGATCATAAACCTGGACTTCCTACAGAAAAAGATCGAATCGTCAAAGCCGGGGGTTCCGTGATGATCCAGAGGGTGAACGGGAGTTTGGCTGTTAGCAGAGCACTGGGAGATTTTGAGTACAAAAATGTCGAAGGTCGCGGGCCTTGCGAACAACTGGTGTCACCGGAACCTGAGATTTTCGTCAGGGAAAGGGATGATACATCGGATGAGTTCCTCGTTTTGGCTTGTGACGGTATTTGGGATGTCATGAGCAATGAAGACTTGTGTGCATATATCCACAGCAGGCTGTGTATTACAGATAATTTACAAGAAGTTACCGGTCAAGTTATTGACACTTGTTTGTACAAGGTAAGAACTATTTCAGTACTTTGTTCAGTTGACTTTAGAAATTAACACTCATTTTTTGTTTGTCAATTTGTATGATAATATCACAAAATCACATAAAATTGAAAAAAAAATATTAACCACTATCAAATGGTTATTAAAGTTTTGAAAGGTGTTTTTGAATGTTTCAAAACAATAATTCGATAACTTTGAATGATCCCAATATCCTTTCACTGGGTGCAAGTGTTTATAAGTAGACTCTAGTTATAGAACAATTCAGATTTACAAGTTGTATACTTTTATTTTTAATATCACTTTTTACTAGAAAACAAATAATTATCATGAAAAATGAGAAATAAAACTTTTACCACTTGTATTTGTAACTAATGTTGCAGTTTTGTCCTATAAGGACATTTTCAAATGAATACAATAAAGTTTATTGTAAAATACAATGAAATTCATTTATTCGTATGTAAATGTCCTTATAGAATTAATCTGCAGTAACGTTAGTTACAAATACGAGTGTTAAAAAACATAGGAAGTATTATTTCTCATTTTTCATGATTTCCTACCACATAGTGATTGATACATCTATCAAATTATCAAATACATATTGGGTTAAATTTGAAGGTAGCATGAGAAATCTGTGTTTTCTTTGATTCAATTGATTTATTAGTGACAATTCAAACTGATAAATAATAGTTTTCATATTGGTAACAGTTATTATTTTTGGGATCCACAAATGAAATTTCATTGCTGATCATTATCAGAATACTGCACAGGACTATTCATTAATGGACATCTAATCTGAACCGTAGGACTCGTTTATCATATATGTCTCTAAGCAGTAACTTAATGAATAAGTGAAACTTTTAGGAATGAAAATCACATCCTCCGGTGTTCAAAATTTTCATTCCCTGTCATTTTATGAGTTAGGTTTCCAAGGAGGATGTCATTTTAATTCAATTTGAAGTTATTCTTATTTATTAAGTTATGGAATCTTCATGCAATAAACTGCCCATATATCAGTCAAATCCAGTATTCATAAAATGGAATTAATTTGAGGGCAATCACTTGAGACTGGCTTGATTGTTTAAAGTTCATTTCTTTAGATTTGTATGCAGTGTGTACTATTTGGATGTGTGATTTTCAATTTTTCTTTCTTTGACTTGTCTGATATCCTTTGTATGATCTTTAAGACGAATACTTTATTATTATTTTGATAATTCATGTTTTGAAATTCTGTGATGGACACTATATGTTTTTTTGAATTCTGAGAATATGTTTGAATAATCATCTTTAACCTGACCTCTTCTTTAATAAAAGAGGATGAAGTTGTTGAAATTTCAATTGGTGTTATTGGATTAATTCAGAAAATGTTGAATTTTAAAATGCTGTGAAGTCCCAATTGCATTATATTTGACCAAAAAGATCAATAGGTTAAATCTGCCAGAGTCTATTTCCATCAATTTTTTCTGTTTATTTATTTTTCTTAAATTTTTTTTAACATCTTATCAGTTACCACAATAAAGAAAAATGTGATTTTTTTTTTGTAATATCTGTTTTTTTTAAATTTTTTTGAGTTTTTTTTCATCAAATCTAGTATCAGTATTTTGTTTTTTTAGGGCAGTCGTGATAATATGAGCATCGTCTTAGTAGTATTTCCTGGTGCCCCCTCACCTACCCCTGAGGCCATACAGGCTGAAAAAGAACTAGATGAAACCATTGAAAGGCACATTAGAGGTAAAAAAACATTTTTACGTGAAAAATTATGAATCCAGAATATTCAAGTACATTTTGTTATAAATATTATCATTCTTGTTTTTATTTCAGATATTGTAAAGCAAAGCGAAGATAGGGATTTTTCTCTTATCCTCGACAAACTTATGTCTGTCAATATCGAAGGTTTACCTCCAGGTGGAGGATTAGCTTCAAAGTGAGTATTGAAATAAGTGAAATGTAACTACTGATGGTAACTCATAGTCTGTATAGAATGTCATAAAAACTGCCAATCGTAAAAAAACTTCTTTCGAGAATGGATAATTCTGTTTCCATTCGAATATATTCATTGATTTTATAAGTGAGTTGAAAACAAAGGTCGATTTGAAATTTTAATTTCTGTGAAATATGTCGTACTGATTTTAAAGGGGGACTCACTATATAAACAGAACCTGTTTATATAAATTTGAGCGAATTGTGGATTTTTGTTATAGAAATAGAAGAAAAAAAGTTTTGCTGGTTTGAACATTCACAATATAGAAGTGGAATCTGAGAATAGAATAGTAGAGAATAATACATCAAATATTGTTTTGAACCTACAAATTTTATTATGTTGTTATATGTAATGAAATGAAATTGCCATCAGTTTGATTTTTAATCTGAGAAGAATACAGGAGATGATTTTTCCTAAATAGAAAAGGGGATATTTTTGAGGGAGGTTAACTTTTTGGGAAAGATAGGTTTTAGCTTTCTACTTTCTACAAAGATGTGTAGATCATGTGAAGAAGTAATTTTCGGGCAGAAACTGGGAGAAAAAGACCTCTTAAAACAAATTATTTCATATAAATATGAACTTATCCTTTCCTGCTATTTCTGAAATTAAATGTTTTGATGTTATTTTTGAACAACAGCTCAAATTCTCCAAGCAATTAGGTGTCGTCGTAAAAAGAACTTACCTAAGCCTCAAAAAACTATCCCCCTTTCAAAGATCTGGACACTACCACAGAAAAAATGCTTTGCAACTCTCTTGTTGTCTCGCATACTAACTATGGACTTGGTTTATTTAAATGTTTGAACTTATTTTTGGCCAAATGAATGAAGGTTCATAATTTGAATTTATGTAAGGAAGACAAATCTAATAGTTTTTTTTGTTACATACATACAAGTTGACTGTAGGCTCCTTGAATGTACACCTTATAATTTTGTTCTGAAGTTTTTTAATTGCTTTCAATAAGGAATTTGTTGCCATTCCCCAAACGGATATAAGATATTGAATTTTGGAATATACTAATGAAAAATGAATAATTTTAAGGTAGTTTAGGGGAACAACATTTCTTACTTTGAATGAAATATCAATTATGGGAGCTGTTGTTTTCTTATTGTTTGTGTTGTCTCCATTTTCATCATAAGACCAAAAAATTTAGCACTAGGAGAGTATTTACTATTTTCATTATTGAGTTTAATTGGATCTTTTGAATCAATTGATATAGGTAGACCTTTTTGATATGAACATATATGAAGATTTCGGAAAATTAAGTGATTTTTTATGGCATTGAAAGCATAAAGATATTTGATCTAGGTCTTTAGAAATATTAATTTGATTTCTTGTACCCTATTTCCATTGTAAATTAAAGTGGTGTCATCAGCAAACATTTGTTATTTATCAAATAAATTTTCTGTAGCCAAAGAATTGCAATATATAAGAAACATAACAGGTCCAAGTATTGATTCTTGCGGTACCCCACATTTTTTTTTTGTCGACATCCCTGTTTATTGATATTGTTGTTTTCTCAAACCGATTTCATCTTCTCTTTTCAGGCGCTCATTGATTGAACAAATTTTCAGAGAGCTTTGCCCAGATCAAGCCGAAACTGTAAGTCTGAGTTATTGCATTAATTTTTGATTTACGAACTGTTTTTTTGTCATTGTTGTGATCGTTTGTTGCTATACCTCACAATTAATCCTTTAATTAATTAGATTTCGGGTATTATGTATGTGGCTAACTGGTGGGGAAGGACAAGGGCTTTCTTTCTTCATGAATGTGATACATTTTCGGAGAATTCCTCAAAAATTTATGGTATAAAAATGTGATGAAATGTTTAGGCAAGAGACAAACTGTCTTTTATGTCATATCGGTGATGAAGAAAATTATGATTTATTTATGTATTGTACGTTTTTTACTCGTGATTAAAAAATGAAGTTCTTGGTTTTATTTCTCAAAACTTATCTGGACAATAATGGAAATTTACCTGTAATTGTTGAATTTGAACATGATTTTTAGTTCTGTGACCAACTTTGTTCAGCAACAATTTTGCTAAAATATTGTTAAAAATTAGAGTATTTTATTCCTGAGCAAAATTCAGTTATGAGATGGCAAGAATTTTAAGACCGATGGTTATAACATTTTGATTCAGATTTTTTTTCTAGTTATTAATGAAAAAGTTTTTCATATGGTTCCGACTTACTGGAATATACTGTGTAAAAATTGTCTATTATGCGTAATTCCTTCAGTTGCAATCGTGTGTCATAGTAAAAGAATAATAAATAACAATAATCTTAATTTTTCTTCATAAGATAATACCAGATTATTTTTGAGGCGATCTTTCTGAACATATGATTTGTATTTCAAGTGATTTGGCCTACTAAGGTAATTTTATTCAATTAATTATAAAAGTTATTGTAAAGTAGTGGTTTGTCTTTTTAATAAAATTTATTTCATTGTGTATCGTTTGCTTTTTTCTAATTTTCATCTCGCTTTCATGTACATACGCTTTTTCACTACTCTTTCAATTTTACATATGATAAATAACTTTGTAAATTTGTTGTTTACAGGTTCTGGACCCTTAAATGAGAAGAATATATTTTTTTCTGTTTCGACCTCAAAAAATTCGAACCTTTTTATTATTCGATATTTTTCTTAACCGCATTTTATTTGATGGAAATTTTGTTGTATATTCACGTTGTCACTTTTTACACACTTTGTTAAGAACTTGGCGATTTTTGATGAACATTTTACGAAACATTATTTGTCTGATTGCTGGATATTTTATAATTCAATAAAAAATTATACTTTTGAATTTTCAAGGTGATTATCAATGCTGATAATACAATCATGATTTCATTCTCAGAATTTAAATCTTCATTAGTCCTAAATCATCATACAGCTCTATTTCTCTGGTTTGTTGGTTATGGTCTGCAGGTTTCTACGCTTGACATTTCGTCTACGACTGCGGAGAATATTTCGCGGCAGACATAACTGTCCTGTTCGCTCATTGTTTATCATAAATGTATTTTCAGTGAGACGGTATTTTTATGAACAAACAAACGGCAAATGAGACCCCTTTAATCATACAGTATGAAGGTAAGTCTTAACCTTATTTGATGAAGTAAACAAGTTTCAGTTACTGGGATCATTTATGAGATAAAGAATACATTGCGAAGTTTTTGCAGAAGAACGTATAGTATAAAGTAGAATGGTTGTTAATATAAATTAACCCCTAGTCCACAAATGTCTCAAATAGTGGGAAATGTTAACAAAAACGAATAAATGAAGTGAAACCTTCTTTCTATGTGTCAAATTTCGTAAAAAGTTTTTGAAAACATTTGTCAAATATACTGATTCAAATTCGTATGTGGAAAGTTGCCGAATGCTTCAATCTTGGCTGACTTGCTTATGCTGTGGATTTCATAATGATTCGAAATATGGAACAACTAACAATTTTATACAGAGTTATTCATATAAGAAACTAATTTGAACCCTTTTGAATTAAGTTCTGAAATTGAAGGTTACTTTAAGGTGGCAAATCTGCTTCGAAAATTAGAATCAAGTACTTTATATATTTTCGTTTTCTAGTGAATATTCCAATTCAAAATATGTATTAACAATTTTCTATACTCTATGTCCACGATGAGGGCCAATATGATAAATACAGTAACCGTCAGAAATACAAAGTCGATAAAATTAGAAAGTAGTTAGCCACTTAAGAACTTTTTAAATGAAATTTGAGAAATTCTGATTGTTTCAGAAGGTATTCCAAATAAACCGATATAATATTTCCACAACAGAAGAAAAACTGCTTAAATTGAAAGGGGTAAATTTTTAGGAGAGATTATTTTTTGGGAAAATATTATTAGGATAAGTTTGGTAATGAATTCCTGGTACAGTTATTGTGTTAGTTTGTTGTATCTTAATTTATATGTTAATGACTAATTATAACTATATTTTCCTGGTTATTCCTTGTAATTATTACATAAGAATGGAAAAAACGGTCTCGTTGAGACCTTTGTTGCTGTTTATAGATTCATTTCTATATTTTTCGATTTCTAAAATACCAAAAGCGTCCAAAAACCTGTTGTCGTATACTGGTCTCAAGAATTTCTGCTAACTCATTTTGTGGCCTTTCTCTAAGGCATGTTGAACGACACTAGACTCCTCTAGTCTACTACCAGAATATGTGAAATATGTTCCTTGAAACGTGTTATTATAGTCTGCTTAGTTTGACCCACGTACTTTTTCTCACACGCACAGAGCTCATTTTATAAATCCCAGACTTTTTCCTTTTCCATCATCCTATCGAGTTGCCCAATACTTGTTTTCACCAGATTCATTTGTTAGAAGAAGTTACACAACCGGAACAAGTATCGTGAATACTGATTGAAAAGGATAGATAACCTACTAAGCAAATAAACAAGATGGCTTTCTCATGGACTAACACTAGATAGGAATATCTTTTAAAATCCTGTAAAAAAATGTATCATCTTTCCCACCAACCGATTTCCTAGAGTCTTTGAAGTCCACTAGGTACTCGTTAGGACAACAAGAAGATTGTTCCGAATTTTTAGCAGAATCAATACTCCCGACCGCTCTGGATTGAATAATTCCGTACAGTCTATTTCGTCTTGTGTTTGTGATCTTTTGCTGGAAAAATCCTCACTAGTTTACCTTGTAGTACATGTTCAAGAGATAGCAAAGATGTACGTGACTTTCTGGAACTTCAACTAGCGTTTCCTAATATGACTGATAACCAGTCCGTGCAAAGCTTGTTAAATCATCTGAAAATTGAACTTTTTACGGGTGATGATCAACTGTATTGCCAAACATGCGCCAAACTGACTATTATAAGAAAACAAGTATAGCTGAGGCACCAGTCAATCTAATAATAACAACATGACTCAACCTCTGACGGAAGCACCAACTCTTACGAAGGTTCAAAATAGATGAACACTTCAATCTAGCAGACCACTATTATAATCTTGATGCAGTTATTGTTCAATGTGGTTCTGGCGTTAAATCTGGTCATTATTACGCATTGGTCAAAGATGAAACGGACTGGTTTAAGTTTGATGATAGTCGTGTCACTAAGTGTTCTGGCGATGTCTTGAATTTATTGGAGCCTCTGGAGACACCCTATATTTTGATTTATGAAAGAGGACATTGGCAGATTAAGATCTTCAGATGATGTGGTGCTGCAAGTTTTTGCCGGGTTTTCCTGCAGCTGAAAAAGCAAATGCGCCAATGGAATCAATTAAGACACCCCGGAGCGCCAATTAATTTTTGTTGTTGTTTCATAATTTGTATTACTTTGAAAAAGAAAATTATGTGGGTTGATCAGATAATAATATTTGTGTTCAGTAAATTTCATCAACTATTTCAACCTACAATAAGTAGGACTGTTGCGGGTTGTGTACACTTAATTTAGTGTTTGATGAAGAATTATTACTTCTAGACATACTAATTATTTTCAAGACAAAAAAGGGTGGAACTTCAAAACAGTCAAATTTCATTTATTCTAAATCTATTTCTGATATTTTATGGTTCTATTAAAAAAAAGCAACTAACATAAAAATATGTTTAATCTATATCATTCTTGTATACAAAATTATTGAAATAGAATATAAAATATGGAAAAGCAAATTCTTTACAATTCTACATACAAAAAGCGAAAAGCTCAAAGTGTCTCCTACATAATATGAGCAATAAATATTGAAATT